ATTTAATACAAAATCAGAAAACAGTGAAAGTAGTTAAATTCTTACGAGCTTTGGGAACTTTTATTGTGGTAAAATATACATAAAATTTACCATTTTAACCATTTTTAAGTGTATAGGTGTGTGGCACTACTTTCATTCATATTGTTATGCAGCTATCACCCAACATTTATCTCCAGAGCTTTCTCATCTCCAAATAAAAATTCTGCAATCATAAATCCTGATGCCCCGTTTTCCACTCCCCCGTCCCCTGTCAACCACCCTTCTACTTTCTACCTCCATGACTGTGACTACTCTAGATCCCTCATGTAAATGGAATCATGATATTTGCCCATTCGTGACTGGCTTATTTCACCTAGCATAAGGTCTTCCGGGTCATCCATGTTGTAGCACGTGTCAGAATTTCCTTTCTTTTTCAAAGTGAATAATATTCCATCATGTGTATGTATTGCATTTTGTATATCCAAAGTCATTATGGACACTTGGGTTGCTTTCATATTTCGGCTCTTGTGAATAATGCTGCTTTAAACGTGGATGTATAAATTTTTGTTTGATTTTTTTCTTAACACTTAATTAAGAAAAATTTTAAACATGCAGGCAACTTATTATTGCTATTATTTCTTATTTTATACAGGATGAAGTGATATCTCCCTTGCTTTTTTCTTCACTCTTATGTCACTAACATATGGCTTAGTTAATGCTTGTGAAGGGATTTAAAATATTCCCTGCTAACTCAGCAACACCTTAGATCTTAGCCAGTGAAAGAGATCAAATAGTTGCTGATTTTAAATGTGTATTACAGCCTGGTTGGTGTGGCTCAGTGTATTATTGAGCACCATCCCATGGACTGAGAGGTCCTGGTTCAATTCCTAGTCAGGGCACATGCTCGGGTTGCAGACTTGATCCCCAGTAGGGGGCGTGCAGGAGGCAGCCGATTGATGTTTCTGTCTCTCCCTTCCTCTCTCTCTCAAAAAAAAAAAAAACGAAAACAATAAAAACATTTTAAAAAATAAATAAATGTGTATCACACATATTGGTGTGTAGTTTGCTTTTTAATGCTGCTAAATTAATTACTCCACAGGAAGCTACCGGCTTTCATGAGATCTTAAACTGCCTTCCAATCCTATTCCTACCTTTAAGTTTTTGAAATAACATTGTGGGTTCACTGTTGAGAAGAGGTGGAAGTAGGAGGCATTATGCAGTTTCTAATGGTTATAGGTGGGGAGTTCTTACTGTAGCAGCTACTACTGCAGTACAGCAGTAAAGGGGAGAAGCTAGGGATAGGGTAGAGGGCACAGAGTCACTACAGGGTATTGGTACTGAAGTCAGTTTCCACTACAGTTGTAAATTAAAACTCAGGTTTTTTTTTTTTGCAGAGAGAAATTGAAGTTGACCTGTTTACTGTATTTCATTTGTTAGACAGTACTGTATCATACCGTCTTTGGTACAGTGGCAAGGTGACTCTTCTTACAAATCTAAACATAACCAACTTTGCCATGTTTTTGTCTACTGTGTGTATGGTGTACATGCTTTGTATCTGTTCTCCAAATACCATACGAACATCAAGACTTGTTTTATTATACAATCTTCTTTACTTAATTTGTGCTATCCCAGAGAAAATCTAGTTTTTAAAAATTACATGGTTTGAGGACAAGCAACTAAGAATATCAGAGAAGCATTTAAAATATTAAGACCCACACTGTATTTTCCAGAAGGTGTGAAAGTAACACCACTTAATAGGTTAGCTGCCACCTGCACTTTCGAAGCACTTGAGTCATTCATCTGTCTGGGGTAGGACAGTAGTAGTACCCTTGCCTGGTTAATAGATGAGAACTCTTTCCCCCTGTGTTTTACTGTATTTGAATTCCAGAATTTATCCAGAGCTCTCCAAACAGTGCTTGTGGTCTTCTGGTGGCCTAACAAAGATTCCTTTTAATAATGGTTTTCCCCCTTTTCTTCTCAGTACTTCTGGGCTGTTTTTTGCAAAAGAGTTATTGAAACTAGATACAAAGAATTGTCAGCTTTTGTGGTAGCAGTAAAAATAAATTTAACTTGAAAATTTGTAAGAGATTGTATCATTCATAGAAGATAAAACAAATATATAGAAAAAGTAGGTGAAGTGCTTCATAAATTTGGATAAAGTCTTTAAGCAGATACAGCTTTAATGTGCACCTAATTCATGATTTTTCTTGAGAAAAAGGAAAGAGAAAGGAAAGAAACCATAGGTGTTTATTTAGTTCCTGATGTTGTCATAAATGACTATGAGGATAGTATCTTTGCAAATTATTATTTATGTTATTACTTGAACTGATAATCATAAATTTGGGCAGGTTGTGGGATCTTTATAATTTGAAGAAGTAAAGTGTCATCTCATTCAGACTCTTGGCTGTGCTGGTCTTTGTTCATTTAAATACAAAACATTTTGAAGGCAAAAATTCCAAAGCCTGATTTATTTTATCTGTGCTTATTTACAAGTAGGTTTAATCCTGTTCTTGAGCTTCTTAATACTGCATAAAAATATTAATTATTAGGTAGTCTTAATGTAGATGTCTTCAGCACTTCTCCAGAAAGTCATTGTCAGAGAATTCATTCTAATTCAAGGTTAATTAGTGTACCATTAAAATAATGTGTTACCAAAATTAATTACATTGCAGGTCAAGCAATGTGTTAAAAAGCATAGTGTAAGTGTCTGAGAGCACATCATCCTCCTTAAAACATTGCTGTACGGTGCACCCTTCTGGCAAATACATCCGAGGGAGAAATCACTACTGAGGTCCAGTCATAGGTGTTTCCCCTAAAGTAAATTTTTGGCACCACTTATGGGAAATTTAAAATATAACTCCCATTAACAGTAAAATGTGTTGCTTGTCTGCTTTCCCATCGAAACAGCTAAGGATTTATATTTTAGTATTAAGCGATGTAACCCTATTGGGTTAATTCTAAGGAGAAATAAGGAACCTGGTGGAGAAGTAGACATTATCTGTACATCTTGTAGTAAAAGTAGTAGATATATTAATATTATGTTTTTTTACTTAACTGTTAGGTAGCTCTGGTAGGTGCCCTGTTAAAGTGTATCACACATCATTTTAACTATGTAGTAATTCTTGTTAATAGTTTAACTTAATAGCCATAAAATGTACACTTAAAGTTAGAACTAAAAATGATAGAGACTTAGAAATTTTATCTGATTCTTTTAATGTAAAAGCTGTGAAACAGTTACATTGAACTATAAAATATTTTATATATTGGTATTTGTTCTGAGAGTCTATTAGAACATGTAATTATCCATATGGAGAGTTTTGAAATGAGTGATCTGCTAACAGCAGGTCATCAGAGTTGCAGAAATTTTAACATAGAAAAACTGTTCTCTACTTGACAGCACATTTTTTACTTGGCTTTTAGAATTGTCTCCATTTAAAGAGATTCTTAGTGGGCTCTGAACAAAATAGTTTTGCTACTACAACAAATTTTGAATGATTAGCCCACATGTTTTTATTTTCTGCCTCCCTTGTGTGTGAATTTGGAAAACATTCACGGGTAAATAAAAATAAGTTGAGCAAATGAAAGAAAAGGCACAGAACAATGTGTAGAGAAGAAGTTGTCTTTGTTTTTGTTGTGTTTTTTGTTTGTTTGTTTTTTCAAGAATAGATCCGGTTTAATTAGTTGAACTAATAATGCTTAAAGAGAGTCAGAAAGATAAAGACTGAATGAGTATAGACAATCTTTCTTGAAAGGTGCTTTTCCTTTGTCCCACTTTGTCCCACTTAAATCTTTTCTAAAAGGACATAAAGCAGGGATTTCAACTTAATGTGGAAAAACATTCCAGTTCTTAAAAATACCATCACTACCACCCTCAGAAGGTGGTGTTAAGTCATACATCCATTCATTGCTTCTGAGAAGTCCTTAGCTGTTGGGGTTTTGTTTATTCATTGGACCAAGTAGGCTTCCTTCATTAACTAAACCAAGATTTTCTAATGGTGCAGAATAGAATTAACACACTTGATAGTAACTGAGTCTTTGGTAGAAAGCAATTAAAATAATGTTTCATATTTAGTACTTTCTCTCCTAACAGTTAATCATCTGTTCTCTTTTACAAATGGCTTTCACAGTCAATGTTTGAAGCTAGACACCAAGTAAACTGCTAGTGTTTTTGAGATATTTAAGAGTGTAAATTTGGGTCCTGGCTGGTTTGGCTCAGCGGTTAGAGCATTGACCCACAGACCAAATGATCACGGATTTGATTCCCAGTCAAGGGTACGTACGTGCCTGGGTTCCAAGTTCGATCCCCAGCCCTGGTCGGGGCACAGTTGGGAGGCAACCAGTCAGTGTGTCTCTTTCACATCAGTGTTTCTCTCGTGCTCTCCCTCCCCTCCCTCTCTTCTTCCCTCCCTTCCACTCTGTCTAGAAATCAATGAGAAAATGTCCTTGGGTGAGGATTCACACACACACACACAAAAGAGTGTAAATCTATGATACTAAGGGGGGAATGCTTGTTTTCAAACTGATTAAAATTTCTTACATTTTAAGAAATAAACTTGAGTAAATTTATATATACTACATTTAGATTATGTTTTCTCATCTAATGAGTATGTAAGTACTCATTTTTTAATCCATCAGATTTCTTTCACCAGAAGTGGTGAATGTGATAATTTAAGAAAACTATCTTTTACATTTATAAAGTAGTACTTTAAAATGCACAAAGCATTATATTGTAGCTCATTCATTCAACAAATATTATCTTTTTTTCTGCTCTGTAGATGAGGAGACTGATCAGGCTGACATAAGTCATTGGGCTAGAACATAATGAATTCCAGAAGTAGAACTCAGGATTTCCAAATGATTTCGAAAAGTTGACTGTTTCTCCCATAGAACATTTTATATCAGTCATTCTTAGAATAATTAACTCAGTTTTACATATTACTTTGTCTTTCTTAAAACATTATACCTTTTATATGGCCCCACAGCTGTATTAACAAATTGTTTCTCTCTTTCTGTGTTTTTAGGGCAGAGCTCTGCTCCATTGGGCATGCGATCGAGGGCACAAGGAACTTGTCACAGTCTTGCTACAATACAGAGCTGATATTAACTCTCAGGTAAGAGTGATGAAGAGGGAGCTTGTTTAAAAAATTGTGGTCAAATCCACATAATATAAAATTTACCATATTGACTGTTGTAAAGTTCAGTGGGATTAGTACATTTAACAGTGTTATACAACCAGCAACACTATCTTGTTGCACAGTATTTTCATCATCCCAAAAGGAAGCCTTGTACCCACTAAACAGTCATTACCTGTGTCCCCTCAATGTATTTCTGGGCTGTTTTTTATACCATTGCTCTGTTTTTCTGTTCATATACTTGTGCTGGGCTTTTTTAAGCACTATAGCTTCAAAAGATGTTTTAATATCTTTTAGGATAGATTCCTTCCCTACTTGTTCAGAACTTTTCCTTGTTTATTTTTTTGTGTGAATTTTGAAATCTTTCCAATCCTTATTTCTCCCAATCAGCACCACCATCCCTAAGTTAAAAAACAAAACAAAACAGCACTGGCCGGTTTGGCTCAGTGGTTAGAGTGTCGGCCCGTGGACCAGAGAGTCCTGGGTTCGATTCCTGCTAAGGGCACGTACCTCAGTTGCAGTTTGTGCCCAGCTCCAGTTGGGGTCATGTAGGTGGCAACCACTCAATGTGTCTTTCTCATGTCGATGTTTCTCTCTCTCTCTTCCTTCCTTTCTTCCTCCCGCTCTATCTGAAGATAACTGCAAAAATGTTCATGGGTAAGGATAAAAAACAAAAGAAAAACAAAAGAAACCATCTATTGGTACAACCTGTGTCTCTTATTTGGTTTGGATTGAGCATATTTTTTAAATTATTTTTGGTTTTCAATTACAGTTAACATTCAGTATTATGTTATATTTGTTTTACGTGTATTACACAGTGGTTAGACAATTATATAATTTATGTGGTGATCTCCCTGATAATTCTTCCTGTCTGACACCGTACATAGTTATTACAATATTATTGACTATTTTCCCTATACTATACTTTATTGTTGTTGTTAATCCTCACCTGAGGATATTTTTTTCATTGATTTTTAGAGAGGACGTGGTAGGGGGAGAGCAACATCAGTGTGAGAGAGACACATCAATTGGTTGCCTCCCGCATGTGCCCCAACCAGGGCCGGAGATTGAACCTGCAACCCCAGTACATTTCCTTGATTGGGGATCAAATCCAAGACCCTTTGGTGTCTGGGTCGACACTCTAACCACCGAGCCACTGTGACTATTTTGTAACTTCTTACTCCCTTCACCTATTTTACCCATCCCCCCACCTCAGTCCCATCTGAACCTTCAGTTTGTTCAGTTTCTGTTTTATTTGTTCATTTATTTTATTCTTTAGATTCTACTTATAAGTGAGATTATATGGTATTTGTCTTCCTCTATCTGACTTATTTCACTTAGCATACTACCCTGTAGTTCCATCCATATTGTTGCAAATTTTAAGATTTTACTACTTGTTGTGGTTGAGTAGTGTTCCATTGTAAAAATATTACATTGTATATATGTACCAGGTCTTTATCCAATCATCTGTTGATGGGCACTTAGGTTGTTTCTATATCTTAACTATTGTAAATAACACTGCATAATGAACATAGAGATGTATATATTTTTTCGACTTAGTGTTTTAGATTTCTTAAGAGTATTTTGGAGGGAAATGTCCCCAAGTTAGGCATAGCCTAAGGTTTCTGCCTGTGGGTTTCCTGTGTCCTGTTTGTTTGGATAAGATAAGACAGACAATCCAAAAACTGCCTTACGTGGCATTAACAGAACACTCTTAACTGAACATTCTTAACTGAATATCAGTTTTAATGCAAAGTAAAAGGTTTTTAGGAGAATCAGTTAGGACTGTATACCTGAGCAGTGTTTTCTTTTTTCTCTTGTATTCACTTGACCACTTTCTATTGACCCTAGCCTTGATTTTCCTTTGTTATTGACAGTCCTAACTCATGTGATCTAGTTTCAGTTAGGGAATGGTCTGGCTTTGTCAGTTTGGGTTGCTAACATGCTTCCAAGTCAGAGGGGGCTTTTGGAAATTAGCTCTCAGAATAGCTTTCCCCTTGTAATTTCTTCTTTGGTCTCATTATTGAAACTCTTTGAAAATATAGACAATACAAACATAATAAATGGAAGTAAAGGTTCATCTCTCTCATGACTCAGTCTTTCTTAAACAACATTATTATTGACTGGCCTATTGGATGCCAAAAAAGAAAATCAATTTTGTTAGAAGTATTTGCTTGGCCACAGATCTTGGTTACTAAACCAGCTGAGACAGGCTGATGTTATCAACTATCTGAAGACTAATTTTTACTATAAGCCTGAAACTGAGTAGTAATTAGAGATATGTCACAGTCTACTCTGTGTGTTCCTGTCATTTTTACCCTTCAGTATATCTCTTATATACTTTATTGTCTTGCAGTTTTTATATTCTGTGACTGATGGAATTGGAACTTTTAATTTTGTTTCTAAGAAAGATCCTTTATAGATTTCATTTGTTATCTGGCAGTGTATGGACACTGTTTTGTCTTTTCCACTGCTTGCTACTGATTTTTAGTTCAACTCTGGAAGCTAAGTTCTTAACCACATTTGAGATTGAGACATAGGTTAAATGCACACACATACACCCCACAGACCTCTTGAGTAACTTTGATCTTTCAAGCTCTGGAGAAAGACTGAAGCTACTCCCAAAGCACATTAAAAAGTATTTGAATGCTGAAGATTTATTGCTAGGTCTTCCCAGATTTACTGGAAAGTAACATGAAGGAAGTGAGCAGAGTGGCGGGAGGCGTGGGAGCAGTGGTTGTGTTAGGTGTCTGCGCCATATGCTGGGGGTTATGAAATTCAAAAGGAAATTATTTTGAGTGGTACTGAACATTTAAGGACTTTGTGATTTATAAATTACATAAACTTATGGTTTGTATATGGCACAGAGCAGCACAGCCTCTCAGTGAGTACCTTGGTGACCATCGGTGCGTTGTAAAAGATTTTGAAAACATGAGATGCTAACTAGGTTTATTATAGTGATTATTTCATAATATATACAAATATCAAATCATTATGTTGTGCACCTGAAACTAATGTCATATGTCAGTTATACATCAATAAAAAAGAATACTTATGGAATGAAAGAATGAATGAATCTAAAAAAAGATATTCTATATAGTTTCAGGAAATAAATAGAAAGTATTTTAAAATGAAAGAATGGGGATGCCAATTCTAGATTTTACCTGGATATTGTGAGGCTTAAAATGATGACAGTAGGCCCTCCACCTCAAGGCTGCCCTGCTGCTCCTGCCAAGTCTCCTCCGTGCCAAGTCCACCGAGCATTACTGACAGCGGCCTTCCCACAGCTGCTGTCGACTGCACCACTGACCTGATCAAAACTCACATGACTGCACTGCCTATAGGATAACTTCCAAATTCTGTGTATTTGAATTCAGAGTTCTCCATCATCTGAAAAAAACACGAGAAAGGTATAAAGCAGTAAATAAAACCATCTGTAATTATATTACATGAGGGAGGTGTTGATATAAAACAGTTCTTTAGTATTTACTGGGTACCAAGCATTTTACATATATTGTCTCTTTTAATCACCACATCAACCTCATTTAGGTATATTATTTTCTGTGTTTTACTGATGGAGAAACAGGAGTTTTGAGAAGTCATAGAGTTATTAAGTGACAAAATCTAGATTTGAACATGCCATTCTGATTCCAGTGCCTGAGTTCTTAACCTCTCCACTATGAAATTGAGAACATTTCATTCTCATTTTTATTTTCTCTACTTATATGTAACATTTTAAAGATATTTGGTACAATATTGTACATAGAGTAGTTTTACTTCATTATTTAAAACATTGGAAATACAAAATACATTTATTGTACAGATAGTATAAAAATCTTAAGGATACAACTTAATGCATTTTTATATACCTGTGTATATTTTATTTGCCACAGCTATAATGCAAAGTAACATATATATGGGCATCATTTATATATATTTTTCTCACACACAACTACTACCCATATCAAATTGGAATATTTACAAAACCCCTAGAAAGTTTGTTTTCTTAACCTACTTCCTGCCAATATCAGTCCTTTCACCCCACCCCTACTCCAAGGTAACTGTTATTCTGATTTCTCTCACCATTGATTAATTAGTTCGACCTCCTCTTGAAATTCAAATATTTGGAATCACATAATACATATTTTTTTGGATCAGGCTTATTATGCCCAATATAACATTTGTGACAGTCATCCATGTTGTTACATATATCATTGTTTCTTTATTTTTTACTGCTGTGTAACATTTCATTGCAAGCATATACCACAATTTGTCCATTCTTCTTTTGATAGATATTTAGTTTTTAGGGTTTTTTTTCCCCTTCAATTTTGGCCATTATGAATAAAGCACCTGTGAACATTCTTGAACATGGGCATATGCACATCTTTTTACATTTATCTTGCATCTGGCTCAGGAGTGGAATTGCTGGGTCATATGGTAACTGTGTGTTTAAATTTTTGAGGAACTGCTTATGGTTTTTCGAAGAGACTGCCCCATTTTACAGTCCCACCAGCAATATATGAGAGTTCCCATTTCTCCACATTCTTAACAACACTATTTGTCTTTTTTTTTTTTTTTATCCTCACCCGAGGACATTTTTCCTTTTTTTTTTTTTTTTTTGTTCTGGTAGAGTGGGAGGGAGAGACAGGAACAGAGAGAGAGAGAGAGAGAGAGAGAAACAGAGAGAAACATCTATGTGAAAGGGACACTTCGAGTGGCTGCCACCCGCACGACCAACCAGGGCCGGGGACAAACTACAACCGAGGTACGTGCCCTTAGCGGAACCGAATCCGGGCCTCTCGGGACCGCAGGTCGACGCTCTAACCGCTGAGCCAAACTGGCCAGGGCGACACTATTTGTCTTTTGATTATAGCCATGCAAGTGTATCTCATGGGATCTCATGGTGGTTTTGATTTTCATTTCCCTGATGGTTAATGGCATTGAGCATCTTCTATGTACTTATTGGCCATATTGACTTG